ATTTTAACTGGTTACTGTTCGAATAAAATTTATTCATCAAAATAGCTTATGCTTTAATAATTTTCATTAAAAGCTATAAGCATTACAGTAAATAATAAAAATCTATGTCTAACATCGTAAAGTCAGTATGGGAGTTACTGAGTTCAATCCTTAACATTAATGAGTGCTCGTTTTAGTAGGCAATCAAAGCTGTTTTACGAAAACACTTCACAGGTCTATAGAGGAATGACAGTGGAGTCAACGGCCTCATTAAGTGACAAACAGACAAATCCAGACACAATACGGTTGGTAATCGTGGAAACCCGAAAGCGACGAATAATTGCTTGTAAATAACAATGTTCCGAACATTTAGAGGTTACGCGTCACCCTTCACCATATAGACTACGAGGTGCTACGCGGCGTAGCACATAATTATGTAGCATTTGAACTTATTTTTGTCTCAGTCTTTTTCTAACTTATTATATCGATGTTTATTTTGTACGTATTTTCATAAAGTTACTGCGCATTTCTCTCACAGTTGTGGACACAAATTCATTAAGATAATTTGTACCTCAATGACAACCACCATACATAAACAATTGTAGTAATTATTCTAATTATTTGACGTATGCCTTGCCTGCCTAACATTGTAAATGTAACACCATTACAAAATAGTTACAGAAACGTAAAGGACTCGTTTCTTACGGAAATGATGTTATCTCGGGGAAAATATTCCGCTCCTATTTCTAGAACTCGGTCACGAGAATATTAGAGAAAATGTTTTATGAAAAATGTGACTTGGTTCTGACATTATCTCGTCTGATTGTAGGCTAGATAACCCGAGCAGACGAACAAGTTCAGAATGTACTAGTTATGACTAGACTCAAATCTTACTGATCTTGTTCTACTTTACAAACTTTGAGCAAGTTTCCACCGCTATGTACCGACTTGTATAAACGGCGTTTTCGTGGCACATAATTCTGAATGTGTGACTACATTCCCTAAAGTACAAGTACTCAGTACTTGGTACTTGCCAACAACGAGAACAATGAATAAATTATTTTAGTCATGAACTGGTATTTGAGCTTAAACTCGTTCACTAGGTTTATTATCGTGTTGTTTGTTGTTATTGCCTGATATACCACGAAGTGGCCAATCAAATCGTGAAAATTAAATTGTTCAGCTTTGTAACAGAAACAACATCTTCTTACTTTTATGTACAAAAAATGAGGTCTGTTTATACTAAACACATAATTGAGCTAGAAAGTGAAGACATAACTATTGTTACCGAGAAATATAAACTGAGCAATTGTGTAAGACGACACGTAATACTTGTATCTACTTTATCATCCTGACTAAGGGGCAGCCACGAGCTTCTGACCTTTTCATTTTAGGTGCAAGATTTCAACACCCACGCTGCATTTGAAAAATCCCGTCATATCTCTACCTAAACAAAAAGCACAACACTCACACTAACCCTCCTTTGTTCATATGGGATGGTTCGCCTTATAGCGGTTGCCAAGCACGAGTCTCTGTTACCAAGGACTCGGCCTCCGAATAAACAAATCGCAATCACTTGTCAATCTCTTGTTACACAGCTGCGGAGCTATTTGTCATAGTCGATATCAGTGTCAACAGCTGAACAAGTCCTTGGCATACAACCTTCTAACAGGGAAATTAATGGCCGTAATCCTCGTGAACCGACGATTTGTTGCCAAGGTCACGTCCTTTAGGCAGGTCCCACGGGTTGTCTGACCTTCAGTATTGATATAAGTACATGCATCATTCGATGACGGAGGCCACTCTGACACACTTCACATGAAGGACGCCTGTTAACGCCTCATGTTACATCAGTGTAGTGCCTGGTCAAGTTGCAAGGACTTTTATGATTTATGACTTCGAGAAAGGTAAACTACGAACCGCGTAGTTCGACCGTACTTAAATAACGTTCGAGGCGTCATGGAAGTTACTTCGTTTACGGTACATACTTGGTTTAAGGATTTAAGACTCGCTTTATTAAGATTAAACGTTTATGAAAACTATTTAGCTTTGCGATGAGTACGGAACGTGATATTTTAGAATGTTGATGTTACATCCCACACGTTTGGCTGTAAGCCTGCAGGGTAAGGGATGAGTACGTGGGCTGAGCACCCACTAGAGCCACTATCTAAATTGAGTGTCTACATTTTCATACTGTGAAAATTGAGTACTATAAAAGTTTTTCCTTATTCATTGCCGTGGGCGTCGTGGGAAAACACAAATCAATTGTAAATATCAACAGTTTTGAATGTAAAGTTGTCTATTGTGCAAATACTAAGTGCCCTATATTCGTAACATTTACCGAAATCAGAAATATTTAATACTGTGCAGAAAATAAAATAAATAACTACACACCATATTAATGACGAAAATAATTGATGTAACGTAAACATATCATTACAGAAAACGACTTCAAGCAAGTTTCCACTAACAACTGGAGCAATAAATGACATGCAAAAATTCTGTGAACACAATTAGCACTGCGCCGTTAATAAAATAAATACGACATTGTAAATATTGGAGGCCTTCAATGTGGGCGAATACAAAGCTACGGTACTCATATCAATTTTCCATACCGTTCGACTGTAAACAACGCAACGAAACACCCGCCTACGCAATTCAGTTTTTTGATATAACTGAACAAAGTAAAAATACATTGTTTTTATTAGGAAACCTTATCGCGGTGACAACTACAACAACTCACGCGACTAGCAACTAGCTTTGTATTATGTAGATCGCTCACGTTTTATTAGTATTCTGTGGTTTTATCACAGCTTTGTATTTAGATTATTATTTAGCCAATAATCTGGCTGGTATTATGTAAACTTAATATTCTATTTTTGGTAGTTATCATTTTAATATAGAGTGGTTGTTGCCATGCATTAGTGGGTTTCGAATTAATACGGTACTTCTACATATTACGTTTGATTTAAATCTATCATTTTAATTTTAACACGATCAAAGAATCGACTTTAAATAAACTTAATAGAGACTGAATGTGTATCCCAATTATTTTTATATAATAAAATACAAACTTGTTGAAATTATTTATGTAACACGGAAAGTTAATTTAAAACTTGATATTTCTTCTGGCAACGCGGCGCGACTGAACGGTATTATTTGGCGCCAAACGTAAATAAAACGCCGATGCTGTCGCCACCGGCACATTAATCTGGGTGGAGTATCAAAAATTCAGGAATCCACGTTTTGCCACCGCGTGGGCTCTTATTTTTTCACGTGGTGATGCATTTTCTTTTGATACTATAATTAATGTGTTTTCATTCATAAAACAATATCTGTTTAAAAACCTTTTTGCGTCATCAAAACCTACGTATAATTTTTTTGCGCTAAAATAACAACTACTCACGTTAATGCTTACGAGCTTACTCATATACGTTTACGAAACAATGAAAGCAAAGTTCAAAATAAACCAAAAAATAGCACATATCACCGTAAAATAATTCCGTAAACAAATCAGACTTTTTATCGTAAATATAAGATTTTTTAAATTGAAATTGTGTCACAACTTTAACAATGTTGTTTTAATGACAGAAATAAGTTACATAAGCTGGAGGAAAACGACATTGTAAACAAGAGTAAGTTTAAACATGGAGGCTTAGCCGCGATCCTTGATTACAGTACGTGTCCAATAATTCAACCACTCCGACGTTTATGTTCCACTGTAAAAGAGATGCAAGATACTACGAACGTTCTAAAGTAGCCCTACTTAATAATGGAAAAAATATTTCAAGTGTAGTGTTTCATTAAGTGGATGTTGATTACACTCAATGATGCGTGGCACGTCACTACGCGATGTTTACGATACATAGACCACTGACGTTAGCAACACCTGCTCATACAACACTAAACCTAGATCGCTAGCAACAATTTACAACGCAAGTGTAAAAATTACAATGTACATTTTTAAATCCGAAAGCAGCCGAACAGAAATAAACTTGGATCCAAATACTGCAGCTTTGTTGCCAAATTGTAAATAAGACGGTGTGTGATTTTTTTTCTTCTTAATACAAATATATTTTTTATAAACAAAGAACGCTTATCATGAGATAAAAGCGATTAATTTATGTAATAAAAAATGGTCGTATGTTTTTGTTTTCATTCCGTTCCGTTGTCAACAGACTGATGTGTTTGAATGGGCATCACGGTATTCTAGGGTTATTCAACCAGTCGGTGGGCAGCTGCTGACGCATAGCGGCGTGCCCGGTCTATAAATATTTCAGAGCATATCTACATGTCGTACTAATGGCATTTTTGTGCGCAGTACGCTTTCGTCCTTCCTGGGTTCAAGCAAATAAAAGGCTTGTGTTTGCGCCGCACTGCTACCTAATCAAGAGCTTGTATTTTTTCTCAAGGTCAATAAATAAAACGGAGTTCGACGTAGATTTCGCAATTTGTATTGTGTATTTATTTACCAACCTTTCTTTTATTTGCCGTCGAAACGAATCTTTGGCAGATATTTGAAATCAGTGTTGTGTAATAAAGTTGTCCAGAACAATGTTTCCTGCCATTTTTCAAATGTCAGTAGCGGTTTGAGTAATTGACGGCAGTAATTTTAAAAGAATACTTTTGTAAATCTTATGCGAAATCTAATCTTATCTTAAACAAGTGTTGGGTAGTGACGTGCTTTGTCGGTCATTAGCTAACGGACGTCATAGAAAGCCGTCGGTAATGAATGAAACTGAAGCTCGCCAACTAACCACCGCGCCGCCCCGTGAACTTATCTCGCTGTGATTCAGCGCTGGTAGCGACTCAAATGATCATTAGCTCCAATTTACTAGAAAGGGTTACTTGGCAGACGTAATAACAACGTTGATGGTTTACGAACAAATACTATTAACTGTTCGAAGAACTTTCTTCTGAGAAATGGTTGCGTAATTCTGTGTCCATGTGTTTATTGTTGGTTAAAAACTTTTATTAATATTTTTGTTTTATTGTTACAGATAAAACGTAAATCCCCAAGCATGAAGGACGAGCGTGCCAGTATGCCGCGTGTACGCATCGCTGTCATTGGCAGCTCTCGAGTTGGCAAGTCCGGTAAGTAAATAAATATATCAAGAAACTACTTCTTCATACTTCAAAACGAGAAAAATATATTTGTGGCTAAGAAAATTATTTCCAAGTTGAAAATGTTTCGGAAAATTCCTTATCATCTAATTTAATTCTTGCGACCCAGTTGTTTGAGAGGCGCTGTCATCCTTTGATGGATTTTGTATCCTCAAGATCACAATTCCGATATTTTCTCCGATCCTGGGTTAACTTAATACTGTTATCATACTCAATTTGAAATAGACACCGTATTCTTATATGGTCTTCTTCACAGCCAAAAATATAATAAATATAAATATAAATGGAAGCATACACACCAATTCTCAGTTTGAAATACTCTGAATTTAACAATGCGAGTAAACCCCAACTGAGACTAAAATCATAATAACGAAAGTGCATAATTTGGTGTTCAGAACCCATAAAATACAACTTTATGCTTTCATATAAATGAACTATAAAGAATATTTAATTAACAAAATGAAAATACATTTCAAAGCATTTGGAACAATAAACAGTGCGTCTATTAGTGTACCTTGACCGCTTAGTCGGGCCTATGACCTAATACGTGTTACATAAAGCTAGGCCAACAGCCCACTGACCTATTCTCCTTTATGATATAACATGCTGTTTACAATACATCAGCATGTCACTATACACAGTGAACAATTACGTTTATATTGCAAACTTAAGCAACCCCTCTATTCTCTGAGAAAAGCGATAGAACACGTACTAATACTGGATTGTGTCCTAATTTCTATAAATAGAAGACTAGTCAATATCATTCGATTAAACACTAATCTAGGTCTGAATTGCTTGAGATTAATGTACTTTGTGAGAATCGAAACTTTAGTTAATGTTGTCTGTTATTCATGAAAGCTTCGCAAAGTAAGCTAGAATATAAATAAATAAATACACAATAAAACGAAATATTTATTTCAACCTGTAACATTTAAAATTCACTAAAACATTTAGTTTGATATATCTGTAAATCAGAAAAATTAATAAGTTTTCCTTGTTACAGCTCTCATCGTTCGCTATCTAACCAGGCGATACATCGGCGAGTATCATTCAAACACAGGTTGGTACCGACAGTTTACTACTACTACGAGTGCATTGCGTAGGTTTTATCCTTCGATATGCTTACATTATGTCTTCCTTTCAGATCTCCTGTATAGACAAACGGTACCGATCAATGGTACCCCCGTCGAACTCGAAGTTATAGATGTATCCGGCTCCAATTCAGATAAATTTCCAGCTGAACAGGTAAATAAATAACTTATCACATTACTTTATATCACTTCAAATCTCTGAATTAAAAATAAATATTATATTCTATGGGCTATTTACTCTATCTACGTAGGTTTTGACCCTCCTCCACATTAAATCTAGTATAATTTTATGGTTGAGCATTACACCATCATAAACTTTAACCTTCATTCATGTATTCAGTTTATAAGGTACCCCAAAATAACACTTTGGTTTTAAACAACTGATGGGTATGAATAGGTTAATACCCCGGGACCTTGCCCATAGCCCACAAATCTTCACCTTCACGGAATTAAAGTGTAACCTAAACACAGACCGACCTTTAGTTTCCAAACAATAACAAATACACAAATCTATGAGATTAGGGAGCATTTCGAAAGAAGGCTACAGCATTGTAGATGATTTATTCTGGATTCCAGTACAATTTTAGCATGTTTGTTGTATTCTATTACCATCCATAATAACGCCACTCGAGATTACGATAAGATAACTGTCCAAATTAGTTGGAATACATGTACATAGCTATGTTAGCATGTATCTATAACTTTACCAGAGTGTTCTTCAATGGAGGATAAAACAAAATAATATTCTACGGTAATTTGAAGTTAATAACGAGAATATTAGATACAGAACATCAAAGTACTATCTTGGTAGATACCCTTCCGTACACAAAACGTGATCACTGATGGTCTGGAGCCGCTTTATGTTCCGACAACTGGGTTAATGTTCCAAATAATAGCAGCAATGGAGCCGCACCAGAAGCGGTACTGGTGACCTGCGCGAAACACCGGGATGACTCATCATGTTTACATATTACACACCACAGTTTGCCAATCAACTTTCAATTAACTTTTAAACTAGTTACTTCTGATTGTCAGACATTTTTAGAATGCGAACGACGACCGAAGTATTTTGGATCTCCTTCTGAAGTTTACACAAATATTATTCTAGACATCCTTAAAATAGTTGCGTTGTTGAAAAGCAAGTCTTGGGGAAAATAGCAAGATATTTAGCAAATTGTTGAATTAGTTTTGACAGTGGATACTGTGGGTAGAATGTGAATGGACAGGATTAGGACAGTCGTGTAGGAGGATGTGGGATAACGTTTTGACCAAACATATTGGTCATTAATAAATTATTCCTAATCGTCGGGAACATAAAACATTAATGATAATAGGAAGAATTAACAACTTCAGACATAAATAACTTACTTAAGTGAAAGTCCGGTTCTAATTGATTAGTAGAGATTTCATCATACAGTATGATATCGAGGAATATCAATACATGTGTCGACAACAATAAGTGCCGCGTTAGCGCGCAACGTGGGTCGTATGTCCCGAGCGACGCGCCGCGTGGGAGCGCCCGTGAATCGCTGCAAGGCTAATTTTAAGCCGGAATGTTGGCTCCGAAGACGCATTAATTAAACACATTCTTCTTCGTCTAGTCTCTTTGCAACAAAGCTATATATTAAATTGTTTGATGAAGACTTAAAAAACGTTTTGCCAAAGTAAACAGCTTTGTTCTGTTAGATTTTGTCTAAACTTCACTCCAAAAATTATTTTATGTTCACCTTTTTAACCTTCTCGTGACGCACTTTCACTAGCTATAATTAAAAGTAGATTTTACTGAGTCAAAATATTATAGTCTATTACGTTAAAGTAGGGCAAAAATTAGAACTAGTGACTCTGTAGAGGTAATAACGTTTAATTAGCTATCAACCATCAATAACAACGAAGTACTAACCCACTTGTGTAAGTACCCGTAACTAATGACTCTAAATTATATCGATTTATTACACCTCTTTAAATAAATCTTCAAATAAGACGTAGTACACGACATAGATAAAAGCTTTCTACAGCACTTCCACATACCTACCTACTTCCGTCATTTAACATTTGTTCTTATCTTGTCAACTAATTTTAACAGGTTCTTGGCACTTTTTGATGTTTATGTTATTCGTTGTTCTAGATTCAATGGGCCGATGCTTGTCTGCTGGTGTACGCAGTGACAGACCGCAGCAGCTTCGAGTATGCGACGGAGGTGTTGAGTGCTCTAAAGCGGCCGCCGACGGGCGGCAGTCCGGCTCACGGGCCGGCCGGCGCCGCGGCGCCCATGCCACTCGCACTCCTCGGCAACAAAACAGACCTAGACCACTTGAGACAGGTCAGTATCTAATAAATAACACATTAATTCGTTTTGTACAAACATTTACGATATGTTACGACGCTGAATTCTAATTTGTACACGGTTACGTCTACTAATTAATTTCACTCGAGAAAAAACTATCACACATGTGATAGGTTACGAAAGCTAGAATTTATGTGAATAAAACTGCGCACTTATTCATGTCGTTGACGTACGCTCTTGAATTGCGACGGTTTGATAAAAATATAGCACGTTTAAATAATAATTATGAGTACGAAAAATCATAAATAATCCACTCAAATGGTAGGGATCTAAAGAAGTTGGAGCAGGAAATCGCAGCTAATAAATCGAGCACTTACGATTCCAGTACAGACGTACTGAAAAATATACATTCGTGAATACGAGTTTAATGTAAAGAGAGAACCCGAAGACGCTTGATTTTGCACATATTGTCGTAAATCCGTATGTTTATTTTATAAACGCGGAATAAACAAAAGCTCGGGTAACATCAATTTACTTAGAACAGAAAACGTGTCTCTCAGCCCGTTTTGCGCAACGCCCGATATTTCTAAATCTCGGAATTGTCCTTCACCTTTCAACAAGACGTCTGCTGATATGTAAGATCAGTGTCACGATTACATAATACAGTACATTAATAGACTGGATGATTGACACGTTTCCTTTATCTTTGTTTAGAAAATCTAGATTTGGATCGCAACCATGACAAAGTTAGCTACAGATTCAGGGGCAAACAATTCAGATGTGCATAATGTTTCACATAACGTAACGCCTACTTTTTCCTGAACGGGTGGGGTACAATGCCACATTTCCACTACCATTAATTCAGAGATAATTCAGAAACGTAACATACTTACAATGTGATGACATCGTGCTTTAGTTTTGTAATATATTTAGTCAAAGTTAGTTGACTTTCTCCATGTTACACTTTGATATATCCAAAACTAAAACCACTCAATATCAACACGACAGCGTGTATTATGAAGTTTTGACAGCGTTGACAGTTCAACAAAGCCAAGAGCCTGTTTTGTATCACTATTGAGTTGTTTGAGCTCGATATCAATGGAAAATATGTCACGGTGAAGAGAGACAGGTTTTGTCACGCGTATAATAGACGGACACTATAGTACTATGTATGTAACAGTGACTAGTTTCAGTAAACACGAATGTACATACATACCTACACACCTGTCTATGTAGGGGGATTGATAACTAAGTTAGTTTGCGTGGGCGTGGCGCAGGCTCCACAGTATTCTAAAATTCTCCGAACGTAGTAAGTGATGGCGCAGTTAGTAGAAAATAACTATTGCAGTTTGTCTTACTCAAATAATTTACAAAGAGATCGTCTTATACATTTTGTTTATCTTTTTTCTTAACAATGGTAAAGTTGACAATAATTTTAAGAAAGTTTCGAGTCTAAAGCTTTGTCTTTATAAACAACATTTTAAAATAAAAATAAGTTTTTATTAGACATTTTTATAAATAAACCTTTTAAGTTTTGGACGTAGTTAACCTACTTTTATAACGAACGGAGCTGAGCACAAGCTGAAACTTTTATCAACAACAACAAACAAAAAATAGAAGCAAATTACATAATAACAAAATTTAAACGAAAGCCTTAGCTGTTTTACTCAAAGTACTAAAATTACGTACAGAACCTGACCTTGTTTGATATTGTTTACAGAATTTAAGCAATCTACACAGCTTTTGTTGGATTTATTTTGTATTAATTATTAAGTAACAACCTCCCGAGAGTATCCGATTTACCGTTTTTGTCGCTAGGAGCGTTAATAAGGAGTAGATAAAAATAACTTCATAATTACACACCTACATATTGAGGAATTTGGATTAAGTGTGAGATATTTTTTTTGTATACCTGATCAAATATTTAATAGTCTTTTGTATTGTCTACAGGTTACTACTAAAGAGGGCCAAGCAATTAGTGCGGCGCATGGCGCTTCATTCAGTGAAGCTAGTGTTGCCGACAACTCAGGTGACCTCTACCGTTGTGTGGATCGCCTACTAGCTGAAGTGCGCACACCACAGCGCACGCGCAAGTTCTCCGTCACGAAAATGCTTGGATCGTTAATAGGTAAATATCCATTTCCGTTCGATCAAACGATAGGTCGAATATTTCTCTCGTCAATTAAATATTGCTATGGAGCCGGTGATGGCAGATTTATACAAATGAGAATAATAAACATTTGAAAATTCTTTGAATATGTGATGTAATGTACAAGATTTAATTTTGATGTCTTCTTGTTACAGGTGGTGGTGGCAATAGCCAGACCAACCGCAGCGGTTCAATGGTAGCGTGCCCGCGTGTGCCCGCCCCGGCGCGGCCGCCGCTGGCCGCTGCTGCTCCCTGACCGGCGGCCGCGCCTGCGCATCGCGCACGCTGATGCCTTGCCGGCGCCGGTGCAGTGTGGTTCGCCTGCCTGCCCGTGCCCGCTCGTTTCGCGCACCCCGCGCCTCTGTCCGCCACCATCATATAAGCCGCAGTGACGAGGACGAGGTGTTGCGACCTACTTGTGCTGATCTAGTGTGGAGCTCGTGGACTTTTCACCAAAGACCAGATACTAGTCAATATAATTATAGTGTGCATGTAACTCGTGCACCGTGAGCTTCTTTTAATGTATGCTTGTATGGCATTGTGTTGAAACATCAAGTGAATCAGTTTTATGAATTATTGATGTTTAGGTAATTTTGACAATAATTGCGTAATATTGGCACGATGACGTGTTTCTACTCAGGTATTGATGTGCCAAAGATCTGCTAATATTAACTGATTGGTGAAAGTATTACTTACATAAAACTAAGAACTATGACATGTTATTAACTCAGTAATTAAATACTCATTTGCATAATTTATGACTAAATGTAATCAATGAATCCATATAATGTCTGTTGTATGTTGATGTTTAAAAGTATCTATAGAGATTATGAATCAGAGTATACATAATATTATCGTATAAAGTGTTCTATTGGTAACTATCACATCTTCAGCGTAAGGTGGCTGACTATCACTGTACCACGTATACTATGTGTACCTTTCTATGCGTTAGTATATCAATTCGATATGGCCTAAAATTTTCTACTTTTTCACAGTATTATTAAAATAAGTCTTGTATAGGCTAGGACACCTTTTACGAAACCTATTTCACCGTGTGTTAACACGTGTAATGTTAATTTAGGCCTACATTTTTTCAAGAATTTCACTTATGGTCCAACCACGACATACTATTTATTGCTATAATCGACCAGATGCTTCTGGTCGATGATAATTTGCAAATGCACGATCTCTGCGTAATTTTCGTATGATAAATAGATATATAACTTAAAGTTCATTGAAATAGTGTTCGAACCATAAGGGAAATTCTGTAACATAATAACGAGTTTATAAATGTTTTGGAGTCACAATTATATGTATACATTTATTAAAGTAGACCAATTGTACAGTTTCCCTTCAGGCCTAAAGAGTGATGAATTGAGGAAATATATCACATTTTAAAATTCAGATAACTGTTGTTAATAGATTCTATGTAAAAAATCTATATAAATTCTATTGTTACTTCACATTATACGAAAAGTGTTGGATGTTTAGCATTGTTATGCTATGTATACCGTATTTCTATACAAATATTATTTGTATTAATATTTAGTCATCTTCTAGTCATAGAATAACGGCTGTGAAAAGACATTTTGAATGTTTGGCTGGAGTGATAAGAGATGGTCTGAATAAACAATGTAAATGTATATTGCTAGACAAAATGTCTACGTGTATTCTGTCATATGGGATGTAGTAATAATGGATAGTATGGTAGGACTTGTATATATTGCGAAGCAAAGATTTGGCCGGTGTGATATCGTCGTAAGTTATTGTAAGGCCGCCGCACTCAAAAACTAATTAGCAATGTTTAACGAATCAATACTAAACTTTAAATATGTCATGAAATATGACGTCATTGTAAATTTCAAATTGTAAATTAAAGAAAAATAAATGTGCGGCGGGGAAAAGTAACGTGAATGCCTTACCTTGATTTGCAAAATTATTACTAAGGCTAGGAACGAAGTAGGTTGTAGCGCTACGCATTTGCTACGACTGCTACGCCGTAGTTCTTGAACCTTTGCTACGAAGTTTCGTAGTTCTGTTGATTAGTTCCATCTTAAATGCTTCAACCAAGTTCGTTCCAAGTCTTATTGTTAAAGTATTAACTATTCCATAAAATTATATTGATGAGAACAGAATTGAGGAATGTAAATATGTATTGTACATTGTTAAGGGGACTAAAACGTCGGAACTGATTGGAATAAGTTGTAAATATTTTTAATTGATTAGCTTTAATAATATTAAACGTTTACAATAATTATTTCACTTTTTTATTTTATTTTATATCCTGTGCTGATGCACGTTAAGTATACCTCGTTTCCTTCTAATAAAGATTACCACTATTATACTATACACTACAAAAATACACTATCCGATAGTGGCTATTATATATAATACAGTACTTCTAATTAATCACAAATCAATCCGTTTAATACACACCAATTACTAATAAGATTTTAATTCTAAAATCTCATAGAGAGGGAGAGAGAGAGAGAGAGAGAGATCTCACAAAGTCAATTTTTGAACATCTTTGTCTTTGTCTAGCAGTTGGATTGGACAAATAGTATTTATAGGCATACTTCACGATTATTCAACAAGAAAAAATATAATAACAGAAAAGAATTATGATTTCTTATGTTTTGCATTTTTTGCACACTACTTTTTATTTCAGCCACACCCACCGAGAATAATTCTTGCCATCATAATATCATTGGATTAGTAGTGAAAAAAGAGCATTTAACCCAATTTCCTTCAGTATATATCACGCGGTTAAATAAATATCACAAATCACTGAAAATACATACATCCGACAATTTTCACAAAGCGTGGGCCATCTTTAAAAGAATGGCATTCCGTGCAATTTTTTTGAGACTATCTTCAAATAATTCCGAAATTATAAATCAAAAAAACTATCAAGGTCATGGAACTATTTCAAGTGACCTATAATTGCAATTTATAAATAAACTTCGCAACACAAATCAAAGCTATTCGAGTTAATGAGAACATTGATTGGCACAGAAAATAAACCATTAGCTGTTAGTTGTTAATAAAATAAAGAGGATTTACTTGTAAACTGTAAAATTTGGGTAAGTAGTGTCAGTAAGTCAGTAGTTTTCCATGATTCACAGGAAACCAGGATCGTTAAAATAATTTGTAACTCATTTCCGACTACAATAGAAATGGTGACTAATTACATTACTTTTTGCGTCGAAAGAATTAATAAAGAAGAAAGAAACTGAGAAAAACCGTTTATGACGAGATATTTTAATCAGAACAAAAGATAAAGGTAAAAATATTGTTTTCTTGTTTTAAATAAAAGTCGGATTGAAGGATTTTCTCCTGTGCCATGGGTGCGTTTACGAGCATACAAGTTCACATACACATAGCACCTAGACCCGGAACAACAATTTGGGGATCGCCGGGGGCAGCCGGGGGCAGCCGGTTGCCCAGCCACCACACTAACTGTGTTGTCATATATAGTAGATATCTACTCATACTTAAATTTTAATTCTACAAAAATATAGGCAAAGATGTTCTTACCAAATAAAGCATCCAATTTTTGTCAGTTGTGTTATAACAGTAGATAAGTTTATTGTTTGTTATTATAATTTATCATTACAGGATATTGATTGCCTCATTGACCGAGTGGTCGCAAGCGCAGGGCAGGGGTCTCGGGTTCGATTCACAGGTCGGGCAAAGTATTACTGGTTTTTTTTAATCTCAGTAGTAGCACAGAGTCTGGTAACGTGCTCAGTATATTGCAATAGGCTCACCCCCTATCACATAGGAGACATAACATAAATAGTGAAAAGTTGGTGTTACATTGTAGGTACAGTGGCATTAAGTGCCGTAAAGTGTACCTCTGCCTACCCCTTGGGAGAAAAAGGCGTGATGTTAAGTTATGATATGATATAGTACTAGGCTCTACACTTATCCATGTCCATTAGATCATACATAGTATAATCGATTAAGAGTCCTATAATATGACTATATCGTGGCTACCAACCATGGACATAGACATACTTACATAATGTCAATTGTATAATACCGTTCATGTTAAACAAAACACGAAATAACGTAACATACTGAAAATATTACATTATACCAACTAAGTACCTCACTCTTACTAAATACGAGTAATCTTATCAGTCTTTTATTAATTTATACTTCCTATATAAACAAATGGCTGCGGAACACTATTACCTGGTATAATATATACCAATACAATAATATAATAAACTAAATGGACTATAAATCCAATACCAAATGATGGATGTGAATGTTTTTATCTCACACTCGCTCGTATTTAGTTAACCCAGTTGCAGATATACCATATAAATTATCTTTGCAAAGAATTAAGGTGTACTCATATAGAAAAAGTAAGAAAATAATTATTTATAAAATAAGTATTTGAAATAATTTCTTGCTCAATGTATTCTTGTATTTCATTACATTTCTGGAATATATTTATATAGAAATATACTTATATAGAAGCTAAAACTTTATGCAAAATGAAAGACTCCAGTTATGCTCCGAAATAGTTAGCCAGAAACGGTCAACCATATTAGATTAACACTGTCGTTTGAATGTTTTACAAGTGACCCATTTACCGAAAAAGAAATATAAATAAGTAATTTATCATTCAATAGGAATCACTAACAAATCTCTCATGTCAAACAACACTATGAGATGTTGTACATACTGTTGATTAGTTTCTACACTCGGGGGCAAACAAACGGAGCCACTAGCGTGATTTATTTTTCATTTCTTGATAAATATTTACTGATACAAGTAGTAAAGGCAATTTAGCTACCTTTAAATGAAGACTACCTCATTGGCCGAGTGGTCGCAAGTGCGACTGCCGGACAAGGGGTCTCAGATTCGATTCCCGGGTCGGGCAAAGTATTACTGGGTTTTTTAAAAATCCCAGTAGTAGCACGGAGTCTGGAATAGTGCCCGGTATATGGCAATGGGCTAACTCCCTATTACATGGGACTCATAACATAAATAGTGAAAAGTGGGTGTTACATTGTACAGTGGTATTAAGTGCCGCAATGTGCACCTCTGCCTAGCCCTTCAGGGAAGAAAGGCGTGATGTTATGTTATGCAAAATGAAGGCATTTTTTCTGAAAGGACTTCTTCTAAGGTTATAGAGGGTTCGATAAATTGAAAAAATATACTAAGCTACAGGCTCGGCCTAGTTTAGATGTTAGTATTCATAAACTGTGTCAATTTTTTTGTTTCAATAAACACATTTTT